CCTATAGTTCAGTTTGTACATTAGAATTCACTAGTCAGTTTTGAAAACTTTGACCTCAATGCTCATGTACCTTGTGGTATTTCATCAAAGACTTGAAAAAGGTATCTTTGTAGTCTTTTGACAGGGTTATGGGGAGGGAAACATCTTAAAATATTTTCTGAAAGCATGTAGGGTCAATTCTCTTCTGATGTCAATTCAGTTTTACCGGGGAGGAACTTGACTCAGTGTCATTTACATTAAACTAAAGATACCATTTCCTCCTTAGATGGCTATTGCTTTACAGATATTTTCCCAATAAGGCTAAGATAATAGAATATTTCATTAACCTGCCTCAACCCTTTATGGAGTTCTTGATCGTCTCAATCACTTCATAAATCCAAATAATAAATGTGGGATATGGATCTATCACAAATGTAGCAACATATAGGCATATTAACAGACCTAAAAATGACACATGCTACCATAATATATCCATGTTTCAGGAGAATCAGCTTCTCTTGCACTCACCAAATGGGGAAAAAAAACTATGTCGGGCACAGGGCAGCCCTAGACTAGCTGCCAGCAACTGGCGCCTTAGGCGAGCCATGCAATCAGCGCCCCCACCTCCGAACCCCTCAATGATATTGCGCCACCATTTGGCACCCCATTTAACTTGGCACCCTAGCCAACCACCTAGTTCGTCTATATTGATGGGCCGCCCCTGGGTATACCTTAATTATCCTCTGGTTATTTAACAAATCATCTCTGAGCTGAGTCAACACAGACATTTTAGCTCAAAATAAATTAGTTTGACAAAAGTATAGGCACCTAAAAATAGAATGGAAATGTAATACTCTTTCTTGTTATATCTTAGAATTCTTCTTGAAGGATAGAAAACATCCTTTATAAAAGTCCTAAGACTGCCCCATTGATGTACTCTTTCTAAGCTGTACTGCTGTTCAAATGTTTGGATTGCTTTGACTTAGCTGGAGATACCTGTGAACGCTTATGTGAGAAGTGGAAAATAAAGATTGTTTGCTGTGTAAATTTACAAGCAAATGGAATTATTAGACACTACAATATGATGAAATGGACAGTACAGTCAGGCATAATTAAAACTAAGATTTAAGATGCAATGTTAATATGCATGTAGCTAGTAGCTGTTAAGGTATTTTTTTTTTAAAGTTTAGTGTGGACAAGCTATTGCATATAACACATGTTAAACTAGTCAAGTTAAAACCTCAGCTCTTTGATCAGTTTAACATGTTTTATGTAGAGTACCTTATCCATGATAGATTTTCAGACTATGTTAATTAACATGCTAATATCATTGCTTAAATTCTGCTCAGGAAAAGTCCTCAATGTACAGAGATGTTGTATAATTACTGAATCATAATTGCAGCTTTTCTGCCCTTGATGCAGTTCACTTTTGTCTCATTGTGGATTTACATCGAATTGCTGAATAACTGTGAACATGAATCCTCGTGCTTGGGCAATCTTTAATAGCCAATAGGAGTTTAGGGATTTGAACAGTCATTATATGGTTCTTTCAGTATTCTCACAACTCTTGTTACTTTAATCCTTCTGATTGGTTTTTGTAATAGAATTTTCAATCCACTAACCAATAACAAAGTTGCCTTAGCTTCTTGCTCCCTTCTGTTGAAAGTAGCACATTTTATGTAGAATCAGGGGAAAGGAATACAAAAGCCAATAACCTGGAGATTTTTTTTTTTTAAATAAAAAGGGTCATTTTCTTCAGACCTATTCCTGCTTTCAGTTATCTCAGTGAAACTATTATCACTAACTTCAAATAAAACTAGAATTGGACTCTTCTTCATTTCTGCTCTGCAGGCCAGCAGGGCACTCTTGTCCAATGTAATAGTTATAGATCTGCATATGCAGTAGGAAGTTACTAGCTGTTTCCCTCCATTTATACAGGAAACAACAACAAAAAATAAAACACCCCCCTCCTCAAATGTATATTGCAAGGCTGTGTCTACATTGTCATCCCTTTCCGGAAAAGGGATGCTAATGAGACACTTCGGAATTGCAAATGCCGCGGGGGATATTTAAATCCCCCGCGGATTTGCAATTCCGAAGTGTCTCATTAGCATCCCTTTTCCGGAAAGGGATGACAATGTAGACACAGCCCAAGTGTTTTGGAGAGAAGAGTCTAGCAGACAGAGAAAAAACTGGATAAGGATGAGAGGGAAGCCTCTTTCCCAAAGAACCTGTCAGCAGTTTATTGAACCATTTTCTTCTTTCTAATATTTCTTCAGTCATTTAATGTTTGAATATTGGAGTCAGTGTAAAATTAATTAAAAGTTACTTCTTGCTGACTCAGCAATAACTATATCCTGCACTAAAACTCATTGGCCTTCAACTAGGGATATTTAAAAGCGTGGCTTTTTTTAGTTTTTTTCTGAAATGTTTAGCAGTTGCACATTTACATGCAGAGGGGAGGAAGCTCCGCAGGAGTCAGTTCATGCGGGTAGCCAGCTTAAAAGGTGCCTCTGATGTTGGGAGAGGGTGGACTTGTGTGTAGTTGTGAAGTTTAACTGATGAGTTGAGGCTCATCAGTTAAATGTATATACTATCACCTCCCTACCTTCAACATCATTCTGTTCAGTCCAAATGCAATAAAAAGGACCAATATCTGTGATATATTATCTAAATATAAAATTGCACATTTTTTTTCTCATTTGATTTACATCACCCATTTGATTTCAGAATTTTATATTCAATGTATACACAGAAAAGCACTTTCCTTGAAGGTATTTTGCAATGATCCAAGACTTTCTGGTTCCAAAAACCTCTAAAGCATCTTGTCTTTTGACATATACTTAGTGGCAAGGAGCAGACTATTCAGTTCTAAAGAAAGGAGGGAGTATACTCTTCCATACATTTTCAGTCTTTCAGAAAAACCTCTGTTGTCAGAGATTAGCAAGCTGAACTCAGTTAGTTATTCAGTCCAAACATGTCAAAGGGTTTCATCCTGCCAAGAATCTGCTATAATAAATTGCCCAAGGCTTGTCAGTTCTGTCCTATACATATTGTATTCTGGCTTCCTGTGATGTATTCCTACTTGACATGAAATCTCACATGCCAGATCCTGTTGGCAGACTTGTGTGTTGGTATCTCTTTATGACAATTTCAGAAGTGGTAGATATTAACTGAATATCCGTGTTTTTTAAACAGCATTAGGTTATGTCTAGACTGCGGGGGCTTTCCGGGATACCACCACGTTCAGGGAACGCGTTTGCTCTTCTGCTTTGTGTGTGTGTGTGTGTGTGTGTGTGTGTGTGTGTGTGTGTGTGTGTGTGTAAGAGCAAACGTGTTCTTTCAGGGACCTCTGTATACCTCGTTCTATGAGGAACAAGCTTAGGAACAAAGCTGAGCGTCTTGAAAATGTGTGTATTTAGCAGCCTGTTGTATGGATGTGATTCGAAGAGAAGTATATTGGCGTTCGAGAGGGGTTGTTATAGAAAGATCTTGAGAATAGGATGGATGCAGAAGGTTACCAATGAGGAATTATATAGGAAGATACAGCCGAAAGAGAACCTACTGCAGAAGGTTATACAATGGAAGTTACAGCTATTCGGGCATATATGCAGAATGAATTATATGCAAAAAGTTAAGACCTTGGTATTTGGCATAACGGATGGTCTGAATAGCAGAGGCAGACCCCATAGAGAATGGGTAGATGATATAGTAGATTAGTGCGGAGCTAGTCTACAGAAACTAAGCTATTCCGCACTGGACAGGGAAAGATGGAAGGAAATAGTGAAGGAGACATCGGACACCAACGGGCGCTGAGCCCATGGTTATTGATGATGATGAATACTTTGTCTTATTATCTACTCCTTTTTTAATGATTTCCAATATTCTGTTCACTTTTTCAACTGTTGCTGTATATTGAATGGGTGTTTCCAGAGGATTACCTACAATGACTCAAGATCTCTCTTGAGTTGTAACAGCTAATTTAGACCTCATCATTTTACACGTATAGTTGGGATTATGTTTTCCAGTATGCATCACTTTGCACTTAACATTACATTTCATTTGGTCAAAAAAAAATTATTTCCAGTGAGCTCACCTTTGAAGTGGTTTAAAGTAAATTTCTCCAAATGTTTGCTATGATCAGAGTTGGAGGCCCATTATTTTAATCACATGTTTACTCATTTGGAATTTTCATAATTAGTATTCATGTCTATACTGTTTGGTGATTATCTAGTTTTATAACAATTTGATTTGTGTGTGAGCGCATCAGACTATAAAGCATTTTGGGAGCTCAAAGCATATCTATTTCTCAGTTACTGCTTTGTACAGATTCTTTTCCATATTGTATGAGATCGGATTAGACTGAAAGCTTCTTTTTAAATTTTTTTATAGTTGCGAATATTCCTTCCTTTTTTTGTTTTAAAACTAATTTTGCCAACTGATATTAAATTTTAAAAAAATTAGTGACGTTTACCATCAAAAGATAGAGTTCTGGCAGCTCCCCCAGCTGTTGTAATGCCCACAGCCCCTCCTTCCATCAGGTAATGCAGGATGAAGAGAGGAGGAGAAGAGTGTGGGGACACAGGGACGGGGTGGAGTCACATGAAAGGGAAATGGTTGGTCGTGTCATGCCCCTTAGCTCAGTGGTCTCCAACCGTTGTAACCACAAGATCACTTTTTCAATTTAAGTGCAATGTAAGATCTACCTCAAACCCAAATACACTTGGTCCACTTCCTTCCTGCCCCTGCTTTGAGGCCCTGCCCCTACTCTACCCCTTCTCTGAGGCTTCACCCTGCTCACTCCATCCTCCTACCTCCCCCATCCTCACTCACTTTCACCAGGCTGGAGTAGGGGGGTACAGGCTCTGGTCTTGGGCCAAGGGGTACGAGTGTGGGAGGGGCTCTGGGCTTAGCCCAGAGTGGGGGATTGGGATCCAGGAGGGGTTTCAGGGTGCAAGCTCTGGGAAGGAGTTTGGGTGCAGGGGGGCTCATGTCTGGGGCAGGAGGTTGGGTGTAGGAGGCGGCTTAGAGCTGGGACAGGGGTTCAGGAAGCAGGCTCTGGCTGGGTACCAATTTAACTGAGATTGTTTGTTTCTGGATGGCGGAGCAGTGGGGTTAAGGCAGGCTTACTCCTGCCCTCGGCCTGCACCACTCCTGGAAGCAGCTGGCATGTACAGCAATGGCTCTATGGTGCCATGTTCTGCCCTTCATCTACATGTACTGAGCCCACAGCTTTTGCTGGCCACAATTCCCCATTACTGATCAATGGGAGCTGTAGGAGTGGTGTCTGCAGGTAAGGACAGCATGTAGAGACCCCCTGCTCTGCCTTTCTCAGGGGCTGCAGGGACATGCCAACCATTTTTAGGAGCAGCAATTACCATAGGGATAGGGATAATTACTCCAGCCATGACAGGATAGGCATTTTACAACTCACTACTCAAGAATTAAATATAGGAGTAAGAGAGAAATAACAATTATGAAATGCACAGACCAGTCACAAACCCAAAATAACTCCCTTTGCAAGCAGTAAAAGAAGTAACAACAACCACCCACGTATGTGTTGAGTCAGGAGAGGAGAGTGGAGGACAGTGTGTGTTTGTGAGAATGACAGACACACACACAGTGTATGAGTGATAGATTTGCATTGCCAAGCTCCCTCTAACCCCTTCTCTCTGTGGAGATAGGATATAGAAGTGGGTGGGGGGAGAAGAGACACCCTGATATCAGCATTCCCCCGACCCCCACCCCCTGCATAGCAAGCAGGAGGCTCCCAAGGGGGCAGCTCCAAGACAGAGGGCAGGAACGAACACTATGGCAGCAGGTGGAGGGGCAACTGAAATGCCAGTGCTTCACAGCTTTCCCCGCCCAACCAGTCAGGATCACCTGTCAGAGGCTCCAAGATCTACCAGTAGATCCGATCTACTGGTTGGTGACCACTGCCTTAGCTGGTATGCGCCTGTCCTGCCCTCATTCTGGGAAGAAATTAATTTTACTTTTACCACTGACTGACACACACACAATAGAACTTGGAATAGTCCAAAATCCTGTGTACCAAATGATATGGGCTAGAGGCTAAGAGCAGTGAGACTTCAGCTATTGGTTAGAGCGCACAAGCATTTAAAAGGTAAGTTATAGATCATTGGGAACCCGAATGAGATTGGACTGAATTAGTTGTTGAGGAGGGTTGACAAGGAGATTTCTGTCTGGTACATCTGAAGTCTTACTCGCCAGTCCTGCAACTTCTTGTGTGTGGGCAAACACCTGCACTGAATCCCATTGATTTCATTGGGTCTCAATGTGGATGTAGAAGGTGAGGTTCACCCAGCTGATCATGAAATGAGCCATAAGCTAAACTTTCAAAATTATATAGCCACTTTAGAATGTTGAGAAGTGCATCATTGTGATCGTATTTTTACTGATAATTATGTTTCTCACTACAAGAAATTATTAATTTTTAGTCCTAATGCAGGTGTTAGAAGTTTTATTTAAGAATACATGCAAACAATATTTATGATTCTCTAATTTCTTACAGAATAAGCTGGATATCAGATATCGTGGTGGTGGTCTCTCTGGAGAACATTGAAACAATGAAATCTATAATTGAAAAATATGGCCACAAACGAATTACGGTTGTAGAAGGTGGAGTGACTCGCCACCGGTCAATTTTCAATGGACTGAAAATCTTTCTAAATAGCAAGCTCTCCAGCTGTCCACTCCAGAAACCAGAAGTAGTGATTATCCATGATGCTGTGAGGCCATTTGTTGAGGAAGATATTCTTCTTAAAGTTGTTTTGGCTGCTAAAGAACATGGGGTATGTACAGCACTGCAATTAAACTTTGTAAAGCTCTCTTACATTGGTCTAAAGTAAAATTACATTGTTTTAATACTTCAGCTTTAATACCGTTCCTTTTAAGTGGCATAAATATAGGATCCAGTCATGTAAGCAGATCAGCTTGGGTGCACATGCCTACAAGATAAGGGCCTTATTTGGATTAGGATATGGAATTAGTCTTCTAAGGTAGGAACATTTTTTCTGATGAAATTTTTTTTGTAATTTTTTAAAATGGAAATTCCCTATAATCTCATTATTTGCTATGTTTTAACAAAACAAGGTTGTAGTACATTTTGGTTTCCAGTAACATTTTCTTCTAATTTTCAGACTTTAAGCATTAATTTTAGCTCTACCAAAATAGAGTTCTACTCCAAATTTCTATGTTTTATCTCTTTTCCCTAAGGTTTATTGAGGAAACAATCCTATTCCAGGTTCATCCCATTTTTCTGGCTCACCTTGGGTCAATCTTTTTCAACATTCACTCAGTTATGTCAATTCTGAGCGCTGTACTTGATTTAGTGACTCTGGGTATGTCTACACTTGCAGCCTATTTAGGAATAGGGTTGCAAATGTAGGCATTCGGAATTGCAAATCAAGCCCGGGATTTAAATATCCCGCGCTTGATTTGTATCTTCCCGTCAGGGCGCCATTTTTTGAAATTTACAAGCCCGGAATAACTGCCCTCATCTACATGCGGCAGTGAAACGGGCGTTCGAAATAAAGCCCTATTTTGAACTACCTGTTAAACCTCATTGCAAAATAGGCTGCAAATGTAGACAAAACTTCTGTCTCTTTTTCTGTTTGGTTTTAAGAGAAGTAATCGCATTCTAGGCACATCCTGTTTTCTTGGCACAAGCAAACCCTTATGTTGCTTTCAGTTATGATAAAAGGAAGATGTATACTCAATTTGGTGGTCCTACCTCTTACTCTTTAGGATAGGGTTTGGCAATTTTTGGTGGGGGGCAAATCCAAGATTTTGGAAAGTGATCAAGAGCCACACTTTTCTGTGGAGGAGATGTGGGATCTAGGATGGAGATTGGGTGCAGAAGGGTGCACGGAGTAAGTGACTGGGTTGCAGGAGATGGTGTGAGGTCTGAGAAGGAATTTTGGGTGAAGGAGGGGGTTGTGACTGGTGTCAGCAGAGTGGGGTGCAGGGTCTGGGAGGGGGGT